GAGCAGGGGTTGGTTAAATAAAATCATAACCCATCCTGCATGGAAATATTGGAAAGTCTTCAGGTATTGAGGTAGATCCTTAAGAAAAAAGAGCAAGGTACAGAACACGTATAGAACATGCTACCATTGAGAAAAGCTGGGACTGGGGATGATGTTATACATATATGCTTGTATGTACATAAAATATCTCTGGAAGGATTTGAAGGCAGGTCACCCCATGGAGAAAGGTAGGAGGACAGAACCTTCTCTCTGGAGCATGTTTTGAATTTGTGTTATATGAATATGTTGCCTATTAACATGAGAAGAGAAGATAATTACATATAAAAGAACCAAGTTACCAGGGGACAGGGAGGAATAAGACCTCATTGGTAGCTTTTTGATTTTGAGCCCTATCTGGCTGTTTTGGGGATGAGACTATAAGTCCCAGACTCCATGGTCACCAGATAAGGACAGAGGCTCCCAGGACTGAAGGGACAAAGCCAATTTCTATCTCTTTTACACAGGATTAAACGCAGAGATAAAGTGGACTCACTTTATCACCTCACTCACCAGGAGGAGAAATCTAAGCAACTGATGGGTGGGTTTGCGTGTGTCCCGACCCTGGTCCCAGAATTCACACAGGGAAATTTGGAGGGTTGGGACCTGACTTTGCCACTGTTTCCTGGGGAATGGGACTGGATGGCAAGAGAGGGCTTTACTGAAACAGTCTTGTGGGGCCTATGCTTAGCTTCCCAGTAGGGTAAGGATAAGGAAACTATCAGGACCCTAGAAACTCTGGAAAATTCCTAAGCTCCTGGGATCAATAGACCTTTCCCAGACAACTGAAATTGCTTTGATCTAAAGGGTCAGCTCTATTTTTACCTACTGTTTAGAGGCGATGGAGTAGCCCCAACCACCAGATCTGTCCTCCAGTTCCTGAGAGTTGGTGAATCCTCCAGTGTGGGGCTGGTAGAGGTGAGGATCTGCAGTGAACACATTCTCACAGAGGCCCTTATGCCCCTCTGGGCCTCCACCCTGCCCTGCACTAGCCTCCTTGAATTTTCCTGCTCCATAAGGAGTCAAAAATACCTATCATATCCCTCACTGTGTCTGTTCCCACCTGCCTGCTCACTGCTATCAAGGGTAGCACATCAGGAAAAAATAGGGCCTTCAGAGGAAAGGGTGAATGAGGGATTTCACAATTTATCAAGACCTGAGTACAGGCCCATACTACTTAATTTCTCCTCCTCTCCCATGTTCCCAGATTAGTGATGCTTCTGGGGTGTGAGATGTCCCTGTCATGCCTTCATGGTTGAATGAAATGTAGAAAGGACATCTGGTGAATTCCTTCATTTCACAGATGGGGAAAACTGAGGCCCGGAGAGGGAACAGAGCAGGAACTTGATCCTGACCTCACAGAGATCAGACTCCTAGAGGGAGTTGGCTGGGGATGGATGGAAATGGGGTGGTGGCAGGGCCTGAAAAAGGGGTCTGGGAGAGGGGTGGTGAGTTTTCTGCAATGAAGGCCTACTTGGTGGAGGTGTGCAGGATGGGATGCCTAAGGGAGAGTCTACATTGTTGGATTCTCCATAATGGACAAGCCTCAAGAGTCCCCTGGGGTCAGCAGCCCAGAGATCACAGAGCTGGGTGCTGCCCCTCTGGAAGTTCACGGGTTGCTGGAGATAGAAACTCCAGCTAACAGGGCCTAGGCTGAAGCAAAGGAATTTGTGAGTGTTCTCCAAAACCAGAAAGACATGCATGGGGTGGGCCTGGGCAACTTCAGGGGCTCACACAGGCAGATGGGTAACAGGCATTCCATGCAGAATGAATAGCACCCACAAAACCAGACTTTAGGCTTGCCAGAGTGGGCCACTGGTAGCAAGTAGTAGCCATGAGGATAGTCTGGGGTCATCCTGTAGGTAAGGGGTCTTCATCAGATGACATGGCAGCACTGGAGAAACGATGGGGGAAAAGATGGCCCCACCCACATCTATGCAAACTCAAGGTTTGAAGTGTCATTGGAAATCAATGTTTTTTAAGACTGACCCACAGGCCTTGGGCAGTTATTGGGGTTTGAGGAAGGGATCCAGTCATCTAGTGGGCTGTGGAGTTCATGCTTTGGAGAAAGTGTGGCTGGCAGGGGGTGGGGAACTCAGGGGAGGCCTAAGTATGGCTTGAGGGTGGGATGTAGTAGCTGCCTTCCCCAGCACACAGGACCAGTTATTAGTAAGATAAATTAGGAATATGGTGGGTAGGAATGAAAATGCAGGTCCCTGGCCCCTTTTCCTTGCATTCCAAGGAACTACCACCTTGTGTATCCCTCAGCCAGCTTTAGAACCTCAAAATTCACCCATTTATGGAGTGAAAAGAGCCCTAGCCCTACCACTCCCACTTAGTAGGTAAGTGTCCAGCTGGCCCTGCCTGCCTCCTGTGCCTTCAGAGACTTCCAACTTTAACTGAGGAAACCCACCCCTACCCTTAATTCACGTGAGGCCCTGAAGCAAAAAGAGGCAGCCAGCCTAGCAGCAGCATATCCAGGGGACCCGGGGTCAGTGTCCTCATCTGTGAAATGAGGGAGTTGGACTAGAGCTAGTGGAGTACTGAGTCCCTGCTCTCTATGGTGCAGGCTCTGAGTATCAAAGGGCGGAAGGGGAGCCCAAGCAAATAGAGCCAGTGCAGGCCATGTGGGGCAGGGCCTGAAGCAGAGAAAAAAGGTTCTGAGTTGGGAACTAAGGGGCTTGAGCAAAGCTCCCAGGCTTGAAAGGCTGAGCTGAGCTGTGAAGAAGGCCAAGGAGAGAAGGAAGCCTGCTACACAGCAGGTGCTCAGATCCAAGAGGGAGGCTCCAGCCTGCCTGCCGAGTGGGACCTTAGGCTATAGCAGGAATCATGCCAACTCTCCACCTACCCCAGCATGGAGGCAGAAATGGGCTTCACGTCCCTTTCACTGAGGACAGAATGAGACTGAGGGGTGCTGGAGCAAGGCCCTCACAGCTAGGGGTGCCATAGGTGGGGGAGCTTCCTTCCTGCTTTGGGAACCTTTATGGAAGAGGAATCTCTCCCCAAAAGTAGCAGCATCCTCACCCCAAGATGGATCACACACACTTCCAGATTCCCCTGAGCTTTGATTCTCCTTCCTGTTCCTAAACATCACCCTTCTTAACCCACTGCTCTTCCAGTCCAGGACTTGGTGGGGGTTGAGATTTCTGGGGACTGGGAGTGCATGCCCCAGGGTCAAGACTCATGAGACTAAGAGAAACACAGCAGGTTAGTCAACTGGCAAGGGCAGAAGGCACAGGCAGGCTCTGCCAAGAAGGCTGTGATGGAAGAGGAGGAGGGAGAAAAGTGTGTGCATCCATAGGAATAGTACCCACAGACTGGGTTGCCTCTGGGGTTGGGGTGGTTCTTAAGTTGCCCATGACTTGATCTCTGCTTCAAGCCTGGGTTGAAGCTTCCTGCCCCACCTATTAGTGGGTGTCCACTAATGAAACACAGGTCACTGCAAGGACAGTGGGCACAGCATGGGTTGGGCCCCTGGCAACTATGCCCAGGAAGGAAGGAGCCTGTGCCCACTCAAGACCCCAGGCCTCTTGTACAGTCTCTCTGTACATGCACAGGGCAGTCCCTGTTAGTTTGTTCAAAGGCAGGCTTGCTCCTCACTCCCACAGTCAGAACTAAAGTAAGGGGCTCCTGGGCCAAGGTAGCACCCCTTCTCAATAGAGCCCCTCAGTTTTCAAAAGCAAATTCATTTAGATTTTGTAAAGTTCTAAAAAAATCACATTCCATCTAGAATGTCCTTGTTTTGATAGAAGCTAAGGAGGTCTCAACAACCTAAGGCCAGCAGGATTCACACTTAAGCCAACACAAATTTTTCTGAGCAGGCCCCTAAGAGTGGGGTTTGTGAGCTCTTCTGTGTAAGTTGCTGTCATAGACTTGACTTCTCCCAAAGGGCAGACAGTGCAGGTAAAGTGGACAGCCCTTCTCTTTAAGGAAGACATAAGCCTGGCCCTAACTAACCAGCTCCAGCCATGTGATGAATTCCCAGTGTTAGTGGCTGGACCTATCCGGCTTGCAGAAGAGAAATTTCTACCCCCAAGACAACCAGCTAGGGAGCAGCAGCAGGACAGTCCAGCCACCTTGGAAAGGCACTCACACTGCCTGCAGTCCTACCAACACCCCCTCCCCAGAGGATTCCTCCAGGGCTAGGAGCCCCTAGTCATACTGGACCTTGACAGTGCTTTTGTTCTTAACCATGCCCTGCTGTCCTAACAGGGTGAACAGACCACTTGAAGGCTTTCCAGAGCCATCACAACCATAAAACATGAATGGTACCAATGGGCTTCCCATGCCTAGTGTTTACTCTGGGAACTGGTGTGTGTGTGTGTGTGATGTGCTTGGGCATCTGAGGGGGACAGGCAGAGATGGGCATGGCCAGGGTAATATAATGAGAATTCTGCATTCTATGCACCCCCCCCAATACAAGTGAACCATTGTCTCAAAGTTCCAGAATAAGTAATTTTCCAGAAACTGGATTACAGGCCAGGCAGCAAATTACTCTAGGTAGGGGAAACTTTCTCTCAGCAAGTTATTGTATATCTATAAGGTAGAGGAAGTCGGGGCTAAGGAAGTCCCAGGCCCCACTGACCTGCTACCTCCCAGGCAATCAGATTTTTATCCCAACCTTTCTCCTTCCTCATCTAGGCCAACCCCAACTCACAGAACCTCTTAGGGTCACCCTTGGAGAAGTTTTCTGGTGTGAACCAAAATAGCGAACCTGCCCCAGGGAGGGCAAAGCTGAAAACTGATTAGTGTTTGATTTCTAGTCTGTGGACCCAGGCAGAATGCCAACCTCTCCTCATCCCAACACTCCAAAAAGAACTGAAAAGGGACGAAGAATTTGGAGGGAAAGGATGGACAAAGGGATACCCGAACAGCATGACTGCCATCCCACCCCACCCATCCTGGCCTCCGCTCCCTTTCAATGCCTGCACGTCCTTCGCAAGTCAGGGAAGCCGAGTCAGCTCTGTGTTCTCCAAACCATTTATTTCTCCCGGTGGTGGAGCTGGCATGGGGGAGAACAGGCACAGAACACAGCGGGAGTAGGGCCCAGAACGCGGGGAGGGTCGCTGCAAGGGAATCCAGGACGCCGCCACCCTCAGGCGAACGTGGAGCCGTTCCAGCCCACATTGGCCGCATTCATGTCGTAGTAGTTGATGTAGATCCTGCAGGGAGTGGGAACCAGGCTCAGCGCGTTGCAACACCTCCAAGAGCAGGCAGGGGTGGGTGGGGGGGCAGATGGGGGTTGGGGGGCAGATGGGGGGTTGGGGAGCCGAAAGAGGTGGGGGGCCAAAGGGACTACGCGCGCCGCGCCCCCTCCCCCTCCGCGCCCCCACGCACCTGTCTGGGCTGATGCGCAGACGTTCCGCCAGCAGGCCGCACAGCAACTTGCTGTAGGAGCGGTTCTGCGCGCCACCAATCTTGCCAATGCTGTGCAGGCTGCAGAGCGCGCAGGGTTCGCTGGAGCCGCTAAAGGCCATGAGCTGGTCCGGAACCACGTGCACTGCGATGTACTGAGGGAGGAAGGGCGCGGTCAGTCCGCCAAAACGATCACGCCGGACCCCAGGTGTCCACTTCGGACTCCAGACCATCATTCTCCCCTACCCGCTCCCCATCCCTGGTTCACTCAGTCCAGCGAGTACACCCTTATCTTGTCCCCTCCCGGCAAACCTGAGCCGGCTTGCCGGTGGCCTGCGCCAGCTGCTGAGTGAGCTCTGAGAGGAGCCCGTCGGGCACGGAGGCACGGGGCACGTTGGTGTTCACGACGAACATCGGCATGATGGCGGAGAGACGGTGAGACTGGAGCAGAAGCACAAGACCACACGCGGTACGGCCAAAGCCCAGGGACCTGAGCTACGTGACTGCCTCAGCTCCACCCCTGGTGCGACCGAGGCTCCGCCTCTCATGACGCCACCACCGACTGCAGGCTCCACCCTCGCGAGGCTGAGGCTCCGTCTTTCCGGACTACGTCACCGATGGTTGAGGCTCCGCCCCGTCGCGGGGGCAGCCGAGGCGGGTCAAACCGCTTCTCCAGCAATCAATCGCGCTCCTCCAGCAGCTGCGCTCCTTTGTAGTGACTACAGAACCCTGCGCACCCGCTCTCTGCAGCTCTTCATGTGGCGCCAGAAATGTGCTTGTTCCTTCCTCGCCTCATTTCTTAGTCCTTTCACTTAGTCACTTAAAATTTACTCCAAGGCACTGTGCCAGGAGTGGGTACGCGGAGGTTGACGGGACAGATGGTCCCTTGCCTTCCAGGGGCTCTGCCAAATAGAGGAAGCCTAGCTTATTCCTCCCACCCCCACTGAGCTCTTGTGTGTCCTGAGTCTCCTGGACCACTGTCCCCAAAGGGTGCAGTCCCGCATGTCGGTTTTGTGTGTGAGATGGGGAGGGAGCACACACCATTGCTGTGTGTGGGAGGGGGTTGCCACCTCCAAATCACCATCCAGGTATCTTCCCTGCACCCCTGCTCTTCAAGGTGGGTGAGGATGCTGGGAGGCCGCCAGGTGAAAGAAAAGGAGCAGAAAGTGAAATCCACACGAGCTCTATAAGTCAAAGATGCTCAGCTCCAGGCCTCAGGGTGCACCCCTAAACTGGGCAAACCCCAAATCCCAGGGCTCCCAGGCAACTTCACCTCCTTAGAGAAGCCCCACCCTAGTCAGATTCGGCTGGGATACCCTGTCAGAGAGCCCTTGGTGGGTTTTGTATAACTCTTCCACTAGTGGTAAGGTCAAAAGAACACCTGACAGGTGCCTAGCCTACAGGAGACCTTGACTAAGTAGGGTTGAATGAATGGATGGGTTTATAGCTATGACACTGCAGAAAGAGTACAGAATGGCAACTGCATTGGGGCCCTGGCTATAGCAGCTGAAGGTAGAATGAACCTGCAGACCTTGCTATCATTGAGCAGAAGAGTCCATTTCTAAGTGACTACTCCTACTACCACACCTAGGAGGCCTCCCAGTTAGGGTTCCATGTTCCATGACTGACCTCTCTCAGGCCCTTGATAGGGTGCTGTGCACTTAGCTAAGTCCTTAGAATACTCCAGGAAGGTCTTATCTGGTTATGAAGGCACTAGCACACACCAGCCTTGGTGATGGCCTTGTTTTACATCAAGGACACAGTGACTTTGAGACCTACTTGGCACCAGCCAGCCTGTTAAGAAGTTAAGAAGCCCCATGACCCATTTGTGCAAATAGCCCATAAGTTTGATTCCTCCAGCTGGGCCCCAGGCCCTTCCCTTCTGGCTCTCACATCTCCAGTCTAACCTGAGCCCATGGCTCCATGATTACTGATGCATTGATGATGCTCCATGAGATGTTTCCAAATGGGTATGTTCATCTAGCCCCAGCAGCTGAAAGCCACCAAGGCAGTATCTCCTGCTGCTTATGTCCAAACCTAAGTGCGTGACTTTTCCTTCCACACCTGATTCCCTGAAAGTGAAATGTACTTTCTCCACTGTCTGCTTGTCCTCCCTTCTGCCCACCCCCACTGCCACCTAGTGTATGCTACCTGGCATTGCCATTCTCCTGAACTGCTGTGATACCTCTGAGGTAAGCTTTTTCTCCTGGAGGGAGGAGTCTCTCCCAGTCCCCAGACAGAAGATTTAGCCTCTTGATTTGCTTTGCCATGTGAAATGTGAGCAGTGACCTGAGTGACTCCAAGCAAAAGATTGGAGAGCCAGCATCTGGTTGACCTATTCTCTGTGATAGTGGATGTGAATGACAAGCTAGAGCCTCACCAGCAAGCACTGAGCTGCCCCTGTAGGTGAGCCACTGTGCATTTCAGGTTTTTAACATAGTATAGGGGTTTATTTCCTGACCAGGACAGCCTCTGAGCCATTTGTCATCTATTTTACCCTCCCCAGCTGTTCCTAGAAGGGCATCTGAGCAGGTGCTGCAGTTCCCAGATCGACCTCTTACTAGCTTGGACACTTGGCTAACCTCTCTGAACCTGTTTCCCCCACCTATAATTTAGGGATGACAATAGTGTCCACCTAGTGTTCTGAGGACCAAGTGATTTAAATAGTGTATCCTTGGATACTAGAGATAGTACTGTCACTGACCTGTGTGACCTAGTTCCTGCCAGCTTCCCCTGACCCTCCCTCATGGCACACTGTACTTTCAAGGCATACTTCTGGCTCAAGCCTTGGTCCTGAGGTGAAATTTGACCACACTTCCCCTCACTGGACTTTGGCTTATCTTGCAGACCTTGATGTGGCTTTAGTGCCTTTCGAAAGCCCCCAGAGCCTCTGGTTCAGTCAGAGAACAGCACCTGTCCTATCCCCTGAGACTGACTCCATAGTTCTATTTGAGTTAATGCTTCATGTTTAGGCAGCAAATCCCATGAAGGTGGGGAACAGTCTCTTTTTGATCATTGCTATATGCCTACTTCCTGATCAATTTCCTTGACAATAGGCAAATGACCCCCAAAGATGCCCAGGTCCTCATCCTGGAACCTGTGAATATGTTACGTTACATGGCAAAAGGCACCTCACAGATGTATTTAGGGTTATGGACCTTTAAAAAGGAAGATTTTCATGGAGTAAATAGGTGGGCCCACTCTAATCACATGAGCCCTTAAAAGCAGAAAATTTTCTCTAGCTAGAATCAGAGACATGTGGTGGTAGGAGAAGTCCGAGAGATTTAAAATAGGAGAACTGCATGTGCTGTTAATGGCTTTGAAGATGAAGCGAGCCAGAGACCCCAGTCGTACAACTGTGAGGAACTAACATCTGCCGACAACTGAATGAACTTGGAAGTGAATTCTTTTTCTAGCTGACCTTCAGACACCTTGACTTCAGCCCATGCAAGGCCTTAAAGAGAAGGCCCATCCATGTCACACTGGACTCCTGACCCACAGAAACTGTGAGATAATAAATGTGTGTTGTTTTAAGCTGCCAGATCTGTGGTGATTTGTTATAAGAGCAATAGAAAAGTAATATTCATGGCACCTTCAGAGGCTCAATAATTTTCTGCTGGCAGTGCACCGGGGGTATTGACAGACATGGCTGCTGATTCTCCCTTCCTACTCACTGAAAGCATCATCCCCGTTCTGTTTCATTAGAATATTTATCACCCCAGAGCGCCAGACAGATGTGGCCACACAGCATGACTGTGACCCATGCAGTATCTGCTGGAGGTGCCATCCTGTCCTTTTGCCTGTCTGGAACTTGGACATGACACCTTGAAGTGCAGCAAGTGTCAGACAGCCATGGGCTGGAAAAGCACAGGCCAAGGAGTGGGGAGTAGAAACTCAAGGACCACAGGGGTTGGCTCAGTCCCTTTAACTGCCTTTGGCAACACAAGAAAAACAAGCCCCTCTCTGCTTAAGTCACTGTTCATCAGGGTTTCTGTCCTGTGCAAAGCCGGTGGATCTCCTGGCTGGCACAGAGGACTTCTTGGGAGCCACAGCTCATACATGCAAAGGGCTTCTGAGCAGAGAAGGGGTGAAAAAATATCAGTTGGATAAAGAGGAAGACAGTTCACATGAATGCCTGGCAGATCCTGTGGATGGGCAGCCAGCCTTCCAGTGGACCACCTTTGTGGATAGGAGATACCACCATCATGGAAGGTTGGAAAAGAGCAGGGGATACTTGTTCTTTCCCTCACTGCCTCTCTCTGACACAAGCTCCTGAGACTTGGCTGGCTGCTCTGGGGCTTTTCACCCTCCCACTGGCACACACCTGCCCCTTCACCAGGTATTCCACAGCAAGAACTAGCTGGCCTCGAGCCCCAACTATCTGGACTCACTAGTTCCTATGCCCATATTCAGGGCACGGAATGTTAGGAAAGTTGAAGCAAAGACAGCCCCATTTCCCAGCACTTTTTATGGTGAAAAAAGACCAGGGTGGGTGTGTTCATCATCTCTGCCAGTGACTACCCAGCTCAGCCCTACCTGAAGGCACAGGACTGCAAAGAGGGGTGTCTGCCAAGAGACCACCACAGAATATCTTCTCCCAGCAGTCACCCTAGTCTGGGTGAGGATTGCTATAGTTTGGATAAATGTTCCCCAAAGGCTCATGTGTTAAAATTATGGTCACCAGACCGTGGGTAAGGGAAAATGGTGGAATATTTAGGAGGTAGAATCTAGTGGAGGGAAGTTAGGCTATTGAGGCTGTGACCCTGAAGGGATATCGGGATTCTGACCCCTCATCTTCCCTCTCTGTGCTTCTTGGTTTCCATGGACAGTTTCCTCTGCCACACTCCCATCTTGCTATAGGCCCGAAAGCAGTGGAGATAACTAACTCTGGGCTGAAACCTCTGAAACTATAAGCCAAAATAAATCTTCTTTCCCTATAAATTGTTTACCTCAGGTATTTTATCACAGTGGTGGAGCTGACCAACATGGGGGACCAGCATTCAACACTATCTATCCCCACAGGAAACTGGGACACCAGTAAAAGGAGGCTGTTCTAGGCTGAGCTGCTTAAGCTCTCAGAGCCTCAGTTTATTCATCTCAAAAAGGAGTGGTGAGTCTTTTCCCATAGATGTGTGTGACGATTAAGTGAGAAGACAGCAAGTACCAATGTCCTGGCATATAGTAAATGCTCAGTAAATGCTCCCTGATTACAGTACTGGTAACCAAACAACCTGGAATTGGAAATGAATTTACAGGATGGAGACCCTAATGGGCACTGGAGCAGAATGAGAGACATTTTCCTTCCCTGTCCCCACCCACTTTTACCAGATCCTAGCAAACCTAAGACCAGCTACTTGGGAGCCCCAGAGCACAGGAATCAACAGGCCACACATCACTAATGAGGGCCATAAGAAACTCACAGTGACCTGTCCAAAGGTGGTGTGTCCTGGGCTACTTCTCAGAAATCCTTATCTCCTGGAATGTGGAGAGGTGTTGGCATAAACTTTGGGGTCAGGGAGAGCCCCTTGGAGTTGG